ATTGTCTAGGGACTGGGACTGGATGTGAGGTTACTGAGATGGTCTCTCTTGTCCAACTTCTAAATTCAGTTCATTGATAGGAAATTGGAACCAATCTAAAAACCAAACCAAACCAAACCAAAAAGGCAAAACCCTACCACAAACCAGATGGTCAACAATTCCCAAATTAAATTACATGTATATCTTATATCCAAGCAGTAAAATGTTGACCTGATCTTTAGATAATTATATATTTATTGTTATTGCTAGTCATTTGTTTTTTTTTATCACCTTTTTGAAAATCATCCAGTCCTGTCAGGACTTGAATCCCTGTGCTATAAATTGAGGATTTGATCAAATTTACCATGGCATTGAGATATACACAGAAAATGCAGGTCATTTCCATTCTGACAAAAACTCTCAGGCTCCCATTTTTCCATTCCTTACAGCCTTTGGAACATAGGGCAGGCATTTCAGGCATGGGGGGATTACTCCAATGGTTATCGTAGCCTACAAAACACTCTAGATTCTACCTGAAATTTGAGACAAAACATGATAGCTTCAGTTTTAGACAACCAGTGGTTAACCATGCTGCTATAGTTATTCTTCACTCCAAATACTGTCTCATATGTTTCACTAAATTGTCTAAATCCTAGTGTAGTATTGATTTCTCCTCCTACAAATTCACACCCATCCAATAAGCTACAAGAAGCTCTTGTCCTCACTGAATTCTTTCCAAGCAGGACCTGGGCCTGTTGCTCCTGATGGAAGTCCTAGGCAGGTGCAGATTGCTGTCTCATAGGAGGCAAACTGATAGCAACAGAGGAAATCTCATTTTGGAGAGAGAAATGTGACACAGAAAGATTCTTGTGAGGGTATATGAAAAAACAGGTTACCAGAAACATGGATGTCAGGATCACAGGAAAATATATAAAGCTCAAGCCAAGAAGCATGCTCTGCTGAGCCTCCTTCCTATGCATACACACCTACAGGAAGAGATCCTGCACACACATGCCTACAGGAAAAGAGAAGAAATCTAGAAGGCTGTGTAGTGCCCATGTGTGAATAATGGTTATTTCTAAATAGCACAATATTGGTTGGCCTTCTTCTGCATATTCTGAAGTTTTCATAATGGCTATAAATTAATTTTATAATTATAAAAGCTGTTATAGTAACAAGGAAGGATGAGTAGAAAGACCATTTTATGACAATTCAAGGAAAATTATTCTGTCTTCAAAATAGGAGAGTTTTAAAGTTCCTCCAGGATTTCTGGGAGAAGCTGCCTTTCTGTTTACTAAGCATTCAGAAGGGACAGCATTGAGATTTATGAAAAGAAGATAGGGCTTGTAATCCCAAGATGCAGAATCATTAAGAGCAATGAAAGAGCACAGGCAGATCTACACAGCGAAGACACAGCATCCAAACACCATGCAGGGAGGGTCTGTATCCCCACATTGTCACAGCTTGCAGAAGAGAAAGGACTGCCTGGCAGATGGTGAAGGGCAGTCTCTTCCAGAATATTCTGATTCACCTCCCTTTTAAAAGCCAGAGTACCCATTTATTTTCTGATGCTTGACTTAGGATTTCTCTAAAGGAAATAATATTTTTTTTTACTAAACTATCTGTACATGTGCACACATCTAAAATATTTATTTGAGTTGGCTGTCAAGTCAACAGACTCCTGCCCCCCCCCATTATCTTGAAACTGATTCAAGACAAGACAGTCAGAGGGTTGGCAGCTCAGGGAAACAGCATTCCTATCATGACACAGTGTCACTGCCTTGAAATGGTTTTACTCACTTACTTCCTTTTATTATAATGCCAAGTGTTATTTAGATTTTAGTCATTTAGTAATGCTACACTGCACACATCAGGGCATCAGAAAAATTCCTTATCCACAACTCCTTTCATTTCCATAATAACCATATATCCATACCCATTTTCCAGTCAAATTTTGCCAGTGTGTAGGAAGGAATCAGTGCTTCATCAGAATTTAGAAGATTACCAGGCAGTGAACAAGAACCTCCAAAAATGTTCCCTCGTGTTATTAAGAATTAAGAAATCTTGTTAAAATTCTTTCAGGTTTTGAGAAACATAAGCAGCTTTGGGATGTAGTTCTTGACATGCACTTTTAAAGGAATTCCCGTCCAGCTTTCATCTCTATTAGTGAAAATATTTCATTCCAGGTAGCACTCTGTGCTGCTGTTCAGGATTTGAGCAGACAATCTAAATGTGTTTTCAAGGCAAAATGGAAAATAACCAAATTCTACAGACCGGTAGGTCTAAGATGGATTGGCATTCCCTAATGGTGGGAGTCACACTCACCATCTAGGAAAGGAGCCCTTTCTTGGGGGAGCACAGCTGATGGGCACTAAGGCATAAGTGCTGGAAAAAGCAGAGTTTCACCTGTACTAGTGAGAATGGTTGCAGGAAGGTCAAGTTGGTGTCTTTCAATCAGTTGTTGTATAAACAATAGACTAGGTCAGAAACAGAGAATCTGGGGAAAGGTACAGGACTGAACCCCTTTTAGAAGGCCAGCTGTGTCCTCTAGTTGTCTAGAATGAATACCAAGTGAGAACATAACTCCAGTATGCCAAGAGCTGTTCCAGGCAACTTAGAGCTCTACAGAATATTTATCTGGGTTTGCTGTGTGCCCTAGCAGAAACAGTTTAAAGGCTGTCCTTTTCTTTTTCTCCTAAAGTGCCTTCCAGGAAACATCACCCTAAACACCTGTTTGGAGAAACATCAAACTCCATGTGAGTGTTCAGGGTGATCCAGCTTCCATTAGTTTATAATTTAACTTAAACTTAGGTTGCATTAACAGCTCATTAAATGAGCCAAAAAGGTGACAGTTCCCTTTAAAATGATTATCAAACATCTAAGGAGCTGTGTTCACTTCTTAGACGCATGTATATTGTCATCAATAAGCTACAGTTCGGGTCAAGCTAGGATGGTGTGAGCCATGAGGTTCTTAGGAACATACCAGTAGATGGGTAAGTGGCTGTGGAATCTGCAGTCTAACAGAGAAGCAGCAGAAAGTGAGGACTTGATGTACCTCATATGACATAGTTGAGTGTCTACAATAAAGAGTAGGGAATGATCTGAAACATGGTCTAAGAGCATGTGGAGTTGTGGTGAAGGAAATGTGGGCTTCAAACCAGGACTAACTTTCCATAGAACTGCTCAGCAACACAGGTGAACAGCTTGACTAGATCACCAGCTCAATACCAGGAGATAACAAAGACACCTGCTGGTGATGCTGCTAATGCTGGAATTTGTAATGAAGGTCTGAGAAGAACCTGAAGTCATCTTTGTGACTCACAGAGGCAGAATACTCTTTCCCAAGACCTTCCTGTAAACAACAGCTTTTACATTTAAATCATTCACACCGAGTCACCAGGAATCAAGGTTCCCTGATCTATCTTTAGAACAAATGGACACAAAGCCCTTCTCAAATGCTGCTTCACATATACCCACAGCTAGGAATGTTCTAACAATGGAAAAACAGTGTCAACAATCTACCTGACATATCCATGCAGCAAAGCCAGTGAGCTATGGTATAAAAAATATATAGCTTCCCCCAGAAATTTGTTTTCATTTTGAAGGGTAAAGAATGGTCTTAAACATTTTTTTCTCACGTGTGAAGCTAAGTGGAGGATGCCCACCAACACTCTAATGAGCACCCCTCCCCTGGCGGGGGGGGGGGGGGGGGTATTGCCTTAACTTCCATGGGAAAACATGAATTTGGTTCTATCTGGAGTCAAAATATTTCCAAAAGAGGTGATATTTTTCCCCTCTGAATACACACATCATGATTAGTTCTAGGTAGCACAAATTATTTCCTTGAAATATGTAGTATTTTAATATTAATCTCAAGGCATGGTTTTCATTTTCCTCTCTAATACAATGCTTTTGTGTTGCAAATTCTATTTTAAAACCACAGATCAAGTAGTTTTAAACACAGGCATCTTTGAAGAGTGCAAAATAACTTCTCAAGTAAGCAAATAAAACTTTGCACTTGAAATCAGGCCTTGATTCATTAAAAATCTTAAACTTCTCATGAGAAAAATTAACATTTAAACCACTGCTGCTTGGCCAAGCACTCCACCACACAAGAATATGAAATATCTCCTCTAAAAAAGTACAAAAAGGACAAAACCACAAATGTGGAACTTCAATTAATTTAAAGCCCCAATCAGCAAAGAATAAATCCTTCGCAGATCTAATTACCAGCGCTCTCGGAAGACCCGGGCCGACCAGCCAATCTTCCCCGTGTTTGAACAGCTTGATGAACTAGGGGACTGATGGATATCAAGTCATTTTGTTTAATTTATAAATGGATTTTCCCCTAATACTTAAATTATCATCAGTACAACACAATGAAAATGGGAACAGTCTGAATGCAAAGTCTATAAGAATCCTGGAAGGAATCCCAATGAGGGATGTCACCTCTGTTCATTCCTCTATACAATTGATCTAATTAAATACCGAGGGTGGAAAGGCGCTTGAAAATGTAGCCATTTCTGTTTTCTTTTTAGCCTTAATTTATCTGTTCACATCTTTCAAGTACCTTCTGATGCTTAAAAAAATAAATAAATAAAAGAAACCCAAGATTTCTGCAAATCCCCAACACTTTTAATTCTCTACAAGCTAATATTCAAGATGCAACTGCCAGAGGGTAGATTTTGCTGAATAATAAATGTGTAAGGATAAAGGGGAGAGGGTGTTCCAAACCAGCAGATCCTTCTAGTAATTCGAAAGAGAAACCAGAGGTGCTTGGACCTTCTAGAGGTATTGTTCACCTGAAATGAGATCTCTGGATTACACTTATTAAAATGTCTCCTTATTTTCAAATCTCTTCCTTATTTAATTACTGCATGGGGCTGAAGGCTGCATGGAATTGTTAAATACCCTTCGCCCTATTTATAGTCTCGACACACGGGTACCGTGAGCACACTCATTCAGCGAAGGTCCTGCCCACCAACCACCAATTGCAAACATATTGGGTTTGCAATTCCCACCTGGTTCAGGGGTCTCTGACTGAGAGGAGGAAGATGCTGAACTGGCTGCGTCCTCAGCGGCACCCTGTGAGAGGAGGCCCCGCCCAGGCGGGAGCTTCATGCCCAGCTGCTCTGCCATCTCCACGTGGTCCCCGGGGTGGACATAGTCAAAGACGCTGCTTCCTGTCAGCTCCACCTAGAGAGGGAGAGAAGTGGAGAGAGAGGTGTCATGGGCTTTTCCATGTTCAATGCAGCAGCACAGTCACACATATTCTGAGAATAAAGGAAACACACTCAGGTTCCAGAAGCAATTTTGACTCCAAATCTCCATCTTCAGTTACTTCAGGATTCTTGGAAGGGAAAGAGTGTTGATTTTTTTTCCACATGTATTTATTTAGCAATTGTTTAGCCCAGTTTTTTCCCTCATTCAGTGTTGTTTGCATAGAGCCAAAACGTTGTGTGAAATGTGGACAAGTCTGCCTTGCGTTCAGCTGTTTTATCCACGCATCATCAAATACTTGTATGTTTGGTGTCAACTGGATGATTGACTGAGTCCTACAGTTTTCATGCTGAGAAGTTTGTGCTTTGTATAAAAACCATTTCAGAAACAGCTAGAGATAGCAGGCGAGCCTTTCTTTTGAATACACAGATTTCTAAGATTTAAAAAAAAAATCCTCTTATTTCTATGTAAATTTAAATGTACAAAGTGCCACTTCCAAATATATGCAAAGGCATAATGTTTTCATTAAATATCACTCATTAGCTCTGTAATCATATGGAGAATTTTCCATGCAAAAGAGGTCAGCTGGGGTCTGAAGCAGACATTTTTTTTCTGCTGGTATCAGCTTGTTTTGCCTTCAATCTAATAAAATACACGGTACAAAGCTCCTTGAGGGCTTTAAAAAGTGTTTTTATTTTGTGTACTCTTTGAACGAGGCTGCCTCCAAGTACAGCAGATGAATATGAAGTATCAGAAGAGAGAGGCCTGAATATTTCAGTGCTGTCAGACATGGCCTGTGAGTCTGGGTCACCTGCTTGGTGTGTGGGTAGAAGCTGCCGGCAAGGACTGGCCTTACCTTTCAACCCTGAGAACTCACACTTTTATCTCTTCCTGAGGCCAGCTGTAATGCTCCTACCAGGATGTCCTTGCATTGTAGGCATTACGGCAGGGGTAGGCATGTCAGCAGCAGGACAAGAGAAAGCTCTCCTTGGGTCACTAATGGGTTTCTCTGTCCTTTGCAGTGACATGGGCTCAGGCCAGCTCTATATGCCATGGGAGTTTGCAAAGCATCCAGTTTCGTGATGTGTACTCACAGAAACAGCTTCTACCTCATTTCTCTTTCCTGTGTGATACCCAGCACCTCTCTATATTCTACCAAATTTCCCCTGCCAGGAAGGAAGGGAGGGAGGATAAGTTGTCACGGAGAGTGGGATACGCAGATCTGTTATCCACAGCACTCCAAGTCCCTGTAAGATGATCACATCTTACACCATTTGATTAAATAAAGTCTTAACAGGCTACACATCTTCAACATCTATCAATTAGCAGAGGCATAACCAGGAAAAGAGAAGGCAAAATTCAGTTTGGGTAATAGCTCTTCCCGAAAAAAGGCTCGCCCAACTTTTACTGAAAATGAGGTACTTTCTGCAGCTATTAAATTATCCACTCCTACTGTATTACTCGGCTACCGACTATCTCATCTTACAATACCTATTTCTTCCACTTGGTATTGTGACAGAGCACACTGGGATTCACGGTGATCAGCTCCTACCCTCTGGGAGGGGGGGATTACATGGAAATAATCCCTTTAATGTGCGCCTTGCCTCTAAGCACTTCACACAGCAATAAATGGGCAAACTGACTTTGAGCAATTAAGAAATTAAATGAAACTAATAAAATGTGTGTTTTAATATTTCTTGATGGTTATTTTGTTTGGGGATTAGTGGGTATGAGGAAGACATTCACTACACATGGAGTCCAATTGCAGCACGGGAGTCTTCTCACATTCCAGTGTTTTTCTACAATCTTTCTGTGGACCCTCAGACACACATCACATGTTGTGAAAAATGAAAATATTTCATCTTTTTAGGGTGCTGGTTATTGAACACTCCTGTAAACCAGCTCTACAGAGAAGTGGTTAAGGCCTCTACAACTTGCTTTGCCTAGAGATCCTTCCTTCCCAGGGAGCTGTGTTCTGAAATATTGAGCAAGTCAAAGCATGCCACATTGCATCCAGGAAGCTGTGTCCTGATGTACAGAACGAGGTTAAATCACAGCATTCCATATTGCATACAGCAGCAAGGATGGCCTTCAGTGCCCTCTTGGAGGCTTATGCTGAAAACCCAATACTGGTACTGGAGAGATGGCTCAGCAATGAAAGGCACAGACTACTCTTGGAGAAGGCTTGAGTTTAAGACCCAGCGCCTTCATAGGGCAATTCATAATGGCTTATAACTTCACTTCCAGGGGAATCTGATGTTCTTTTCTGGCCTCTGTGGTTATTGCACTCACATGCACAGATTCATGCTCTCATGTTATACATAAACATATATACATATGATTAAAAATGAAATCCCAAACAATAAAACCTAACATTGACAGAGGAGTTGGCATTGAGGACTTGCCACTGCCACAGCCTCCAGGTATCTACTGCAGTTGAGGCCATAGGTACAGTGGGAGATACAGGCTCTTTGCAAGTACAACCTGAATGTGAGATCAGAAGGTTCCCCTGCCCAGCTGTGTGGCCTCGGGCAATTCCTGGAACCTTCCTGGACTCTACTCTTCTGTTGCAAAGCTGGTAGCTAGCTGCTGTGAGGGACAATGGGGCACCTCTCACAGCACATTCCATGTGGATGGCACCCCTGCAATGCTGGTTCTTGGGAGAGGAGACAAGTCTTGGCTTACTTCCCCAAAGCTCTGTTTTGAAAATCCAGTGAAGCCACACAGGGGGATCACTATGTAAGAAAAATAAAACCCTCCAAATGCCTCCTCTTGGGTAGCAAGATGGCTGAGTGGGTAGAGTCACTTGCTGCCAAGCCTGACAATCTGAGTTTAAGTCCCAGAAATCACATGGTGGGAGAAAAGAACTGATCTCTGCAAGTTGTTGCCTGTTCTTTCCAGGTATGTCATGGTACAAAGACTGATGCATGTACACACAAACACATACAGAGTAAATGTCTAAAAGAATAAAATGCCTACTCATGTTGATTTGGTGGATAAGAACAAATGAGCATCAGAATACACATTCCTATATAGCTTGGGTTTGTGTTGTCACATTGGCATGTCCTTTCGATCAGCCTGGGGCACAACAGTGGTGATATGTTTTGTGAGACATAAATAAGTTCTAGAATAATAGTATTATTAGCTATCTATTATGTGAATGACCCCCTCCCCACACATGATCTTACTATATAGCCTTTGGCTATTCTGGAGCTCCCATATGTCAATCAGGCTAGCCTAGAAATTGTGGTGACCTTCTACCTACCACTGCCTCTAAAGTGTTAGGATTTACTGGTGTGTGTTACTGTGTCCACACATTCTGCTTTATCTCATAAAATCTGCCAAACTGCTACACTTGCCCCCATTTTATAGGAGAAGAGCCTGAATTTTGGAAAAGGCTAGTGGTCAAGACAGAATTTGGCTGAGTCTGTTTCAGTGGCCCCCACTTCTTGGTAGCATCTGTAGCCCAACAGGCTGAGCAAGGAACTCTGAAACCCTCTGTCCTTCATCCTTGCTGTGTGCAGAAGAGCACACTGAGTTCTCAGGAAGGAAGGAGGCTAAGGGTAGGCAGCCTGCCAGTCTCCTGGGAATCAGGATGTTTTGTGATTGGACCCGTGGACCTAAGGAAAGTACAGAAGCAGGCTGTCTACACCAAAACAGACATGGGAGTAGACAGGGTTCACCCCCCCCATCTGTGACAGTGTTACCCATCCCAATAATCGCATCTTATCTTATCTGGCATCTGGCTAGTCTATCACAGATGTTTGTTGAATAAAGAGGGTAAAGAGTTAGATCTAAAACACAATCATTTGGATTTATGATTAACTTGATCAAGCTTAAATTGTTTTCTCCCCCAAGTGTTATTTTTGGTATTAGGATTGTGTAGCACGTTAGTCTGTAAAATGTGTTACACTATAGCACTATAATTATACCTTTCCTAGTAAACCCTTGTCAGGTACATTAATAACTGAACCCTCTTTTATAGACCCAACTGAATTTGACTGAGGATGAAATTGTACAAGTGCTAGGAAACTCAGGTTTTGAGGAATCCTAAGAGACCACTGGTCATCTTCCTTGACCCATTTTTGTTTCCAGTCTACGTAGATGCTCAGTTCTCAACTTTCACACCCAGCTCCTCATTTTCTGGATCAAATTATTAACAATGCTTGCAGATCACAAAGAGTGGAAACCTGGAGTGATTTCATCCACTATGACTTGTTGTTAGTGTCTCCAGTGCTTTATTAGGATCTTCACAATGGAAAACAGTAGACTTTGACCTTAGTGGTTTATTCTGATTGGCTCAAATGTCATTTTAGGCAAATTGAAGAATCTTTTCATTTTAGAGTAAGTTCAAGCACCATACATGGTGGTTCTACTTGTCCAACTAGAAAGAGACCCAGTGTTTGGATGGTTCTAAGCTTGAGAAGAAGGAAGAGGTATAGCCATTTCTAGAAAGAGGCATGGCCATTTCTTTCTTCAACCACCAGGTCTAATTCTACCCCAACCAACTGACTCTATGACTCTATTTTGTTGGCCTTGTTGTTTTGTTATTGTTGGTTTTGAGACAGGACCTCTCTAGTCCAGACTGGTGCTGAATTCATGATCCTTCTGCCTTAGCCTATGAAGTGCTCATATTACAGGCATGTGTCACTATGCCTGGGGTGAGAGATGCCAAAAGGGAACCAGTTCCCTTGCATTGCTTAGAGTATATAAAATACAAAACAAAACAACAGCAACAAAAAGTGAAAGAGTATTGGCAGCAGCAGATAGATGATGGGCAATAAGCATATCTGGAGATCTGATTTTGTTCAGACTCTTTCTGCCTGGACATCCCTACTCAATGTTCCAGGATAAACAACAGCTCACAGTCAAAACAAACAACACAGCATTCCCTCAAATGTATTTCATGATCGATTAGCTTGCAAGTAATTTTCACACTAGACACAGTTGCTCTGTAACTGAAGTTTTGTGGGAAA